TTCTTCGTAACTGGGTTCTTCGTTCCGAACTTCTACTGTGCAACAGAGAAACCTAGGAGAATGGCTTTATTCTACATGAATAGTATAGCACATAATCAAGTATAGTCCATCATATCTTGACCCTGATCTTTTCAAATATTTACGTGTCACGAGGTCGCACTGCGAAAACTCCCTTTCGTTCCTCAAAAGAATTTTTTTGGGTTGTTGAGGAGCTATTGTTCGGCGGAATGAAAACCTACGCACAGTCATCTCAATCCATCGGAGTACGATCGATAATTTGTTCTGCACGACCTTCCATCGCATCCGTCACGCCAAATTAACAACGAAAAGTCTCGCTAATTAGGTTGACCACCCGGCTGCATGTAACAACGCGTCAAGATGTACGGTTCCTGCAGCGAACTACGCAGCGGAAAGTGTTTCGATGTGGTTCTTGTGTTGGGGAACCTTGATCACTCACGTAGGTATAATCATCAGTAAGGTTGTGGTACTTAAGGTATTTGACGTGGTTCTTTATGGTGTGCAATAAAAGCTGCCTCGGCGAGTACCATCTTTTCCACGAGGCTTGATCGAATGCATGGTTGAAGCGCGCCAAAGCAAATCTAAGATCAAGTTGAATAAGCACGGGTGTATTCTGCGGTGAAATTGCAATACAGCAGATTTGTAGCTTGATATGAGCGAATAAGTAAACAACAATGCATTCACAGCTTCACGCTAAAAATAGGCGGCTGAGAGTGTGAGAAACATTGTTCGTTCCAAGCTCGTCACGTTTTCGAGTTTTCAAGGTTCCCATCGATCCACCACGAACGTGCTTCCTTGTCCCGGCTGGGCTTTTATCCTTCCGCCCAGCTACAGATATCTCTTACCATGACTTCCGCAAAGACTAAAACCTTCACGAACGGACATTCTACCAAGCACGAACCGGTCGACTTTGAAGCGATCCGCCGGCAACTGGAGAAGGAAGCTGCGCAACTCAAAGCGGAAATCGCCTTACACCTGAAGGACCCCCTCGTTTCAGTGGGCCCCAAAAAAGACGTACTGGAATCTTCCTTCCTGGAAACGAAGAAGTCCATCACAAAGTCAACGTCCACCACCTACTTCTCTCAAGAAGACAAGGAGATACCGACACTCACGAGCGGAGTTTCAACAAGGACGACATCAACTGCCAGACGACCCGGAATACTCAAATCAAGCAAGAACGGACACCCGGGAAGCGGATATCGCACTACCAATGGCTTCGACGTGCACGATGGAAACGCAAAGAACCGTCGAAATAATATTCGCTACAGTTTCGACCTGATACCTGGACTTCAACCGGAAGACCTCACTGTCCAGATTGTGGATGATAAATTAAGAGTTTGTGTGATACCCCATGACAAGTCTTCGATATGCAAAGATCAAGATTGCTACCGAGAAGTTGTTCTACCCGCAACGGTGGACCCAACAACGGCAACCGCGATCCTATCCAAGGAGGGCTTTCTAACAGTGGACCTCGTTACGAGCTAATTTATTGATATAGTGATAACAAATTTTGGATGAAAAACCGGTGATACCTATGTATGTAGCTGATTATGACGTAACGCGTTTACTGTATGTTCAAACAACCACGTTGATATTCTGTCCTCCGATTTACATTTACTATCAAATCCATCAAACTTGAAAAACTGTCAAAATGTAATGTCGCGTTACCTCCCTCAAATCATAATCATAAATAAATCTCCACTATACGATTGCTTCGACTGCACTTGTATGACTAGATCAAATCAAACACTACATAGCTCAACATGCGTACCGGAAATGCTGCCAAATTCAACACGAAATCACCAAGTATCGACTTCATCTCGATCGATCTGACTAGCCTGTCACACAAAAGTCTAGACGGGCAAAGGAGGTGTGGTTCCACTGTCAGAGTACGCCCGGTTGTTCAAGGTATAGTCCACCTGATATTGCAAGGAAAGAGGATGCTGCAAAAAGAGACGAAAACCGTTCACTTTAGCTTTTCTAGCAGAGCAACCCAAACTTACCTTTGCTTCGCTGGCAACGATCAGCACGTGACTAACAGGGCCGGCCGGAAAGATTGGGTTGTAAGGAGGAATGTCAGAAGAGGTTGTGGGCTGAATCTTTACTTGAGTGCCCTATTGAGCGATCGATGAATGAAAAACATCCATTACTCTTATTGTTGACAAATTTTCCTCGGTTTCTTACCTTTGATGCGAAGAAGGAAAGAGTGAAGTCTTTGACGAGAGTCGAGTTGGAACTTTTGGCAGATGCGACGAAAACTACGCAGTCTTCTCTTGGCCGGTTCTTCGTGCGATACAGCACGATGTTGAGTTGGTTCTGGTTGTAGATCTGGATCGGTTCCACTGGTTCTGCAATGGTTGAAAAATTGTCAGAAATTAGACTATTAACAATACTTTGAAATATGAACGATTGTACCGGGCTGGATGTCTTGTAAGGAAACCGAGATGTCACCGATGGATCCTCGATTGATCGAAGCGCTATTGAGTCCACCTGGTGCCATCTTGACGCAGTCTGTTCTTGAAGAAGAGGAAGAAGCAAGGAATGGATTAGAGTCTAAAAGTTCCTCGTCGCGAGAGAAACTTGATCGAGCTGCATTGTTCGGATGTCCCTTGGGCGACAGATCGCTTGTTGCAGGAAGGACACGCTGCAGTTCACTGAGAGTTGCTTTGGGTCTCCTACAGCCAAAATCAACACACTAAAGCGATACTTTCCCCATCACATCATACACTTACGTGTCTAGTGCAGCGTGGAAGGATCGACTCTTCAACTGGGCATCTCCCAGATTCATTCCCAGGAAGTTATTCGTAATGTCGTCAAAGTCAACAAGACCGCGCGGCTTGGAAGAGAGGGACTCCATGGCCGCTGGCGTTTGGGCTGGAAAAACAACAAGCGATGAACTTCCACATGACACATCTCTCGATTGCTGTTCAGAAATTAGCATGATATTGCTCTGGTTTAGTTACCCGAGCCATTTTGACTATCGTTTGCCCGAGATATGTTAGACATCGCCGGTGGGAAAGTGACCGGCTGCATGGGGGCAGCTGTCAGCATTTTTGACCCGTTCAGAACAGGCACAGGATGGACAGGTGTGGGATGGAATAACGTCGGAGCTGAATGAGTGTCCGGATCTGAGAAGACGTCTTCGAGCAAGGACAAGACGTCATCTTTGGAAGAACTTGTGGGCTGAACAGCAGGGCTGTTGTTTAAAGGTGGCGCGGAAGGTCGAGAAGTCGAGGGTCCAGGTGTCTTATCGTCAAAAGACACCAATGCAGCTAAAAGACAACCTTACTTCCGTGAAGGTTATGATGAAAATCTTTCCCGCTGTCTTCAGAAACCACCAGAATGTCACCGAGTTTCGCTTACCAGGAGCACCTTCGTGAGGTTTTCGGCCGTCGAACTTTTCGGCTGCAAGACCGAGGGACCGGTACCGTTCGATCACTTCCGTCAGCTCGTCACTCGTCGAAAGAATGTCGGCTTTGAAATAGTCAGAGATTATTGATTACCTTATTTCGGACTTAATAACGGGTCCTTACCAAGGCTAGGCCCATCTTCAGTCTCCGTGTTGGTGTTTTCTGCCATTTCGGCAGCCAGCTTGAAAACCTTTGGTCGGTGCAGCTCACAGGAGTCAAACAGCTGTCGCATGATCTCCCGTTCTTGCAACGAGCTGCTGGCAGGCGAGTATTGCTTCAGCATATCGGACAGCAGCTTAGCGTTCTCTTTTATATGGATCAGGTCGGAATGACGACGGATGATTTTCTCCATGCGCTGGTCATCTTCACGCACCATACTTTTGATCAGGCGATTCGCGGCGACCATATCGGCAGGCTCGCGGCTTTGCAGCAGCTTCCTCAGTAACTGCAACCCGACACATAAGGACCATTTCGACTAGAAACAGCTAAAAGATGTCTCACTCGAGCGCGTTCTTCATCTTCGATGATAGGGTTTTTTGGTCTGGCTGCAGGAGGCGGAGGAGGTGGTTCAGCCGAAGCGGGATCGTCCTTCACGATGCCTTGCTGTTTCAACATATTGTACGCTTCCACCACCTTTTGCTCGTAACGCATCATCTGGCTCCAATGAAAGAGAAGGCTGATCACCTTCTGCTTCACGGCATCTGTTGTCTTATCTCCCAAATACTACAATAGAAATGGCTCAATATCACTTCCGGTTGACAGGAAACGCTTCAACAAACTACTTAGTACAGCGGACTTTTCAAGCTCCAAAACAACAACACTGGAGAAGACTGCTTTGTGATACTTACCTTGGGAGACACAACTTTGATCAGCTCATTCAAGAAGCGAAACTTGCCCAATTCTGATTGCACACCCCGACCGCCACGTTTCGCGATATTGTCCAGAGTCTTCAAACAGAAATACTCACAGCTTCCATCGACATACTTCTTATCCTAGCCGGATCGTTTGCGGTTAAAAGACATCGCTTACTGCAAGTGCGTTAATGGCTTCTCGCTCGCACGGTGATTGCACTCTGTGAGCTAATGTCCGGAGGGAATGAGCTAGCACAGCGTTATCCGACTGGATTGCCTTGATAAAGTCAGTCTCCACATCTTGCTCCCGAGAAGAGGTCCGAGGGTCGGTCAAGCGAACTACAAAGCACACGGGCTAACCTTCTGCAGACTCACGGTACTGTTCTACCGATGCATCATCACTTACACAGAAGATCCTCGACGTCCGTAAGGAGCATATTGGTACGATGGTGTCTTCAAGCGTTTACGTCCAACTCGCTGATCGCGTGGAATCTTTCAGCCTGAGCAACCTTGCAAAGTCGCCGTTCACGAGACCTGCCAGTACCATCAAGAACTCCAGTCACCCCATCGATCAGTTAGTACTCGAGCACCAGAGGTAGTAGATGGATCCTCCACGAGCGTATAGCGGAGGCTTTCAAGAAAAGATTGATAAAACGATTAAATGACTGAATGTCCTCTTTGTCTATTCATCGAGCTTCCGCAATCAATTCAATCAACAGACAGCCTTGACAGTGCCGCATCGAAGCACTTCTGCTTCTCCGGCAGGAGGTGCTAATAACGCGGATTGTCCACGGTTCGATCCCGTGCAGGGCCAATGTTATTACTCCCATGCGTCGAGGTTCTGTTTTTGTTCGGGTTGCAGATTCATGCAACAGACTTTTTACTTGATGCCTTCTCCATGCTGCAATTTACCTCTTTTGTCGCGCATGTTTAATCGCAATAATTGCTCAGCGTAGAAAAACGTAACCCAATCATCAAGAAAAATTCGGCACGATACGTCACCAGCAAAATTTATTCAACAACAATTAAACAAGGAAGAAAAAAACCTTTTTTTGATATTTTCGTCGCATTTGTTTTCCGTTTTCCAAGGTTTACAGTACTGTATCACATGACAGGACAGCTTTTGCTTCACGTACAAAACTTATCAGTATAAAACTTCCGCTGCAAAATCGGAGAGTACATCCAGCTAAGCTAACAGCAGCACAACACGCCGACAAACTCACTTTCTAGTTCTTGATCGAACTTAGAGGCTGGCAGAATCCCAGTTTTCCTCGGAACTGGTTGCATAGCTGGCTAGATCGACACACCTACAACGTGAAAGATCGTTGATCAACCTTCCCCCATTCGTAAATTCAACGGTGTATCTCATGGCCCAAGAATGAAACTCACGTGGCCTGGGAAGAAAACTTGGCAGTGATGGTCCTCAGTGCAAGACTAGAAAACAAGAAAGTCGAAGTGATGTAGTAAATATATATTCAGATAAAGATAAAGTCGACAGTACGATCAAACGAAACTATCAGAGGTTAATCGAAAAGATACAAGGTTCTTCCTGCACTTACCCAGAGTTCTTCTGCGGAGAACCCTTGAGTAGCCCAGCAATTACAACGACCATTAAAACAACTTGTTCCAGCGTCCGGACAATCATTCGGGCCACTACAGGTATCGCCGAGCTGAGCTTTGACTTGCACGGGAGCAGGAGGAGGAGGTGGAGGCGCGGGATCTGCAGTAGGTTCAGGAGTGGGAGCCTCTGTCTCAGGCGGCGGGGGTGGCTGGGTTGGTGCTTGGGTCGCCGGCTCTTGAGCTTGTTGACGAACGAAGCCGATAGCAGCAATGGCGTTAATATTATCCGCGATGCTCTGTGGAATCAGGAAGTTCCCTTTCGAAACGGGGACTACAAAATATACATATACATCTCCCTTTACAAAAGAGTAAAAGGTTGGCCCTGCACGGGATCGAACCGTGGACATCCGCGTTATTAGCACGGCGCTCTAACCAACTGAGCTACAAGGCCTTCACACTTGGGTGGCGAGATTTTAGCTTTATGTCATTAACACTTTCAGCACGATCGTTTTCATGTTTGCAGAATACTACCGTCCTCTTTGAATATACAGGAATTCTATTGGTAGGTACCGTGTTGCGGAGCCTGGCCCAACCAATAGACAATTTTCGAAATCTCAAAATTTGGATAATGGGCAGGCCATAAACGCCGTCTCTCAAAAGGGTTCGATCCCGTGCAGGAAACTGGTCGTCTTGATTTTCTTCTGACCGCACTGATGACTACAAAATTTATCCTAGGCTCGGCTTCGGTAGATAAGACTGTCCCCAGTGCTCCAGTTTTTTTCTAAGCGAATACCGTGCACGTGTCTCGCGCGAAGAGACGAAACACCAAATGTCACCAAAACCACCCGAAATCGTAGAAAAATTTTCCAGCGTGCTGGGGTTTTGCTGACCGCTGGTCATCAGTTGTGCTCTGGTGAGAGGACCGAGGTACATGCGAAAAAAAAGACCCAGACCCGAAAGACCAAAAGCTAAAACTGGGAGGTGAATAAAACTGAGTGATTATATACACAAAGAGGACGGTCGTACGCAGAGTGTTAATACATTTAGCATTTGTGTGATTCTTTCCGTTGACTGAATTTTATCGATTTTTGACTGATTTTTGTTTCGGTACATACTTACAGTAACAACAGAAGCTTCCGTCAGTGCAGTCTTTCGACGCGCTGAGTTCCCGTTCCGAACACATTGCTTCAAGTCGGCTGTCCTCGACGCAGGTTCCCGGAAACTGAAGTGTGGGCAATTGATCCGGTATACAGCTCATCATGCGAGTATCCGCCCTCATCGATGGCGCAGGCCGTCTCTGAGTTTCATCCATCAAGAACCTTTGCGCACTATTGTGCGGTCTGGACATACTTGACATACTTTCATCATCCCACAGACGAGACAGGATTCTGGAAGGGCGGAACCTCGAACCTGTGATACAGAATCAGTACCGCAATTCCAACATGCAAGTGAGCCAAATGAACGGGCAATCAAGGGCGTGTCATGACAAGTTGCTCACCTGGGAAGATCATTCCTACCGTAAACTGCATATGGGCCACGAAGGCTAGACAAAGCAGAGGTAACATCATGATTGATATTGGTCGGGAGCACAAGATCAACGTCGAGTCTAAAAACTCCTGAACGAATGGCAAACCATAAGTCTCTGATTGTTCAACTTCTCACTCGCATGAGCGATTCTAGCCTTTTTATCCTACCGTCAAATTCGTAATATGCAATCTATCGATGACAAAACATTTTGTCCTCCGATGCCAACGTGTCAAGTGGCGGTTTAGCCGTAAGAGATTGGACATTGTTCCGGCAATTATTCACGAGAAGCTTACAACTTTGTGGTTGCTTAATCCCCATTTACGCATAACTGGTGAGTTCCAGACATGCGCAGCCGGCGGAAACGCCGGTTAAATAATCAGAAATGTCATTTGTTTATCTTCATTTTGACACATGGTATTAGTATTTCATGCACGGAAATATGCAAAAGCATGTAACGAAGCTCTGCTCAAATCGTTTTTTGATTAGTCTTAATAAATTACAATATTCTCGCCTGCCAAATCTGAGACACTAGTTATCTGATTTGGCGAAGCTGCCATATGAAGCTGAGGTCAAAGAGCTGACGACTCCCCGTAGCTTTCCGGAATCGTATGTAAAAGCTGTTGCCTTGAACATAATTCATGCAAGGCCGCTTGACCATAATTGAGTATGAAAACATCGCGAAGGTTCAACAACGAAATCTACCAAGTCGGCGGTTTGAAGCCAAGATGATTTTGGAGAAAATCATATCTATGATTTCCTTGCGGTCAGATGAATTCTCATCTGCGTGAACTATTTGTCTCTGTAGCATGATATCGCATTCAAAACTACTTACGAGGGAACGGTCAGGACGATCAGACGCCGATCTTCGTTTTGATGCTTCCACCTGATGGGTAGGTTTCTTAGCTTACTATAAAAATCAGGAAGAGATGCTGTGAACCCCTCCCTGAAGCAGGAGAAAATCCTGAAAGCGTGGAGCCAT